CTTGGTTCTGGATAGCTGAAGATGGCATACGATTAATAAGATAGCAAGATGTAAGAACTACATTCCCCAAAAAACGCAACGGAGCATGAGATTGTATGAGTAGGGTACGAGCAGTTTCAATAAGATATTTATTCTTTCTTTCAGCTACCCCATTTTGTTGAAATGTTTACGGACAAGATGTTTGATGAATAATCACATGAGATTTCATAAACTGCTGAAATGGGGGAAACAAATACTCTCGGGCATTATCACTACGAAATGTGCGAATAGAAACCCCAAATTGATTTTGAATTTCAGCGTGGAAGGTCTGGAAAATAGAAAACAACTCAGATCGATTTTTTATTTAAAATATCCAAGTGCACATGGTCATCAAGAAATAAAACAGCACATTTAAGTGATTTGGCTAAGCGTCTAACAACTATGAGATTAAAAGGACTACTGGGAACATAAAGGACTGAATCTCAAGGTAAGGAAGGAAGTGGATTTGCTTGACCTATTGCAGTTACCATGGTTTGAGACCCATTGGCCATTGTGACTTTTGGAAGAGATTGAGAATACGAAATAGTAGTGAAAAGAGATTTGTTACCAGAAATATGATCTGATACACCTGAATCAATGACCCAAGACTCAGAGGATGAAGATTGGGAGAAACAAGTCACGCTATTACCTGTTTGAACAAAAGAAGCTATCTCAAAAGATGTCTGCTTACATGCTTTATACTGAAGGAACTCAATATAATCTGCTAAAGAAACCATCCGACTATTCAAAGCATCGGTTCCCATGTCGCTACAATTTGTAGTAATAGGGTTAACTTGAAATAGTGGAAATAAATAACTCCTGTGAGAAAACTGAAGAAATAGCTTGAAAAACACTATTTACAGCAGGAAAACAGAACATTGTTCTGCGCCGGAAACATTGTTCACGCTGAAAACACTGTAGCTCGCCGGAATCTACTGTAGCTGACGGAAAAACTCAAAGTGGTCGGAATGAAACAAAACCAGTGAGGGTAGAATCGGAATTACCAGGCGATCCTACTATTCAACTGGAACTTTTTCAAAATTTGGCCGGAACAGTGCTCACGCGCCGGCACGTAGGTCAGATCTCGCCGGAAAATATTTTCTTTTCCAGGTGCGTGAGGGCGCGCGGACGTGTGTTTTCCAGTGGGGTTGACTGGGGTTTGGTCGCAGGATCCTGAGGAGTCTTGTGGTGGTGTTGGTTTTTGCATAACACCAACAGAAAGTGATTTGCTTACGGACAACCTTCTAAGTAGCCGGAAAATTGCACGGCGAAGAGGTCTTTCTTCCCGAAAGTCGCTGGAATGATGCACAGCGACGGGTTTCTCATTAATGCTCTGATACCATGTGAGAAGGCATGAGAGAAAATATGTTATTGATATTGAATGATAAATATAATACAAGAGGTACTTATTTATAGCTATACACTACAAGGAGATATTACTCCTCTTACAATGTAGGACAAGACTACACTATACATATCTATAAACTAACAGAACAAAAATCACAAACTTACTTTCACTTCAACATTGTATTGGTAGGAGTAAAGAAAAGTACTATTCTAATGTTTCTAAAGCTAGTTCGATAGTAGAACATCACACCGTAGTTTCAAAGTTGAATTTGAACAAGAATCTTGTTAAAGTTTTACAAATTGTAGATATTCTAGAAGTGCAATAAAATTTTAAGGTTTTTCTAATTACATGATTCTTGCATAAATTGGATGGAAGGGCTTCAAATCCAAATATCATGAATTTCTGCATACAGTGATTGTATTTCGTAGTTTAAACATACATCAATTGATGATAACATCCATCCAGGTTATATCAGTGCATACCAGTGTTCAGTAAGTGCAATGTGTATAATCAGATGAGCCAGAAAACACTTACCACTTTCTTCTCTTTCAGGAAGTTGAAAGCATCCAAAATATCATGCTTTGGGTAATGATTGTATGTTTCAACAATGGAAGCTGGCACCAGTCGAAATCTTGAGAAGGCCAGGACTGCCATCTTTAATAGCTCTGCAGCATTTGCAACTGAAACTGATTCAAATGCTTGCCTACTTACACTGTTGCTTACACTTAAAGGATCACCACACCTCTTAGGAACCCNGTAAGTAATTTAGTATAATGATGATCATGCAGCAGACATGCAGACACAGAGAGGGTGACAGGGAATAAAAAGAGAGTATTAACCGCGGGAAGCTTTCCAGATTGAAATTAGATATCATATGCAAAAACTTGATCAACACTTTCACCATGCAGATGGACAGATCAAGTAGAAAAAGGGTCCTGCACCCCAGATCTCTACTCATGCATCTGGAGTTCCTTTCTTTTTTTCATTTCCTCAGAAATTGGTGAACTTTTTCTGTTTTTACTGGTGAGGGACAACCAAGGTGATAGAGGACATTATGGCTCGGATATCAAACTTACTGAGTCAAACCTCAAGCCTCTGATTAAAGACACTGAGCAGAGAACAAACGGAAGATGATAAACTTGAACAGGCATAAAATGTCATGCACATCTATGACGTACTGCAACAACAGGACTTACAGGTCTTTCAGCATTTAAACTGAGATCTGAATTATCATTGGCAGATTGAACTCCATTGCTACCATCCAACTTAGCCATGTTTTTGCATTCTAGCACCTTATCTAGGGCAACCTTTACGTTGTCATTGTCACAATCATCCCACCGCTCGTGTGCAACAGCCTTTCTAGAATGTTCACGGCCGTCAGAAACACCTTGATCCAAATCTTCTTCTTCTGAGGCATGATGCCAAACCATCTCTTCACAATCACCGCAATCTAAAGACCTGTTCTGGAGGTGTCGTGCATAACGCTCCAAGACTTCATTACAGAGATTCATTAAAGCACTTCTGAATTGCATACAGCTGTTCAAAGCAGTCATTCTCCTTTTGCAGGCATCAGGTGACGCTGGAAGGTTTTTGACTGAGGCCCATTTAAAACGAGAATATGGCCCAAGGACAGCTTTGTGTCTTACAAATTCAATCACCAATTGCCTGGACAGATTCAATATATATTATGATCTAGAATAAACTGATTTATCAAGATATTATAGATTTGCTGAGTAAGCTGCTAAATCACCCGCTGCATGACAATCAGTACCAGACCGTGCAAATAGGATATTCCGCAGAAATTTACTTCAGAACAAACCAAATATACAACAAGCTGAAAAGTGTTACAAAATACCTCTAAAACTTATTTATCTACAGTTGAGATCATACAATGAACACGGGAATACCTGTCTGCATCTTCGCTCCAGGAGAAACTTGCTCTGCATGTTGGCTTCAGACTTGAGATATCACTTCTCTTCATGAAAGAGTGATTGGCCTCAGTTTTTTCGCATTGATCTATCCCTTTGGTAACCTCCCTATGATCACCAACACAATTTATTTGAGAATTACATCCAACATCCCCTGGAGAAACCAGGAAAGCATTTTGTTCATCGGGGAATGGGTCAACAGTATCGAATGTGCTCTTGTCACTTGGTCGTACGTCTGAAGTGCGTAACTTTACATGTCTTGCAGGATCTCCACCTGATGACCTCTTTCTTTTCTGTAAATAATTATTCCGTCCTTTTATGGACCGAACCTCCATCCATTTGGCAGTTACAACTCCTTGGAATCTACAGAGACGCATTTGCTTCCTATTGTGAAAACAATGGAACACCTGTATATTGTGTCTTCTAAATCATTCATGATAGAAATGTGTAAAATATGTTAATGCAGGAGAAAATGAAATAATTCTTAAAACTTTGTTTCTATTATTTATTTATTTGATAACAGAGAAATTCCTGAGGGCCAATTTGCTCACAGTTCTAAACTCGGTAGAAAATGGGCCCGCTCCTCTTTATTTCAACTCAGTTTTCTATATCCTCTCTCTATAACTTACATCTTCATGTACATGCATAATCCATTAAGAAAAATTTCACATATTGCATACAATTTCTAGAAAGGAAGGACCATGCTTTAGTTCAATAAAACTGATATTTTAAGGGTACAAATTAACTGCTAGCAGTAGCACAATTGGCAGATTAGCTAGATGATCTTTAAGTTCATTGAACAATACCAATAAGAGATTGTGCAAACTTCAAAAATTGCAGCGTCTTGTAAAAAATTTCATAATAACACTAAGTGACAATCTTTGTTTAATGATTTCGAGACACCTTCTTTGCCATTTTCTGGAAACTAAAACATATTTGGTCTGGCCACAAGCGAAGATCTTATAAACACATTAAGCTTAGAAAAGAAAAGAGAAAAAAGAAAGAAAGAAAAATGGATGTAAAGTGTCTTCAAGCTTGAGGGAGAGGGCTATTGAGCAGATATAGCAAACTGAGCAGCCCTATCATAGTATTTACAACATGAACATCCAAAGGATCAGCATTGACATCATGTCCATAGAGCAACATCTTCACCTAACAGCATACAAGGACAAAATTGCAATTTGTGTTACACTATCAAACCTCTTGATTTGCAGATTCTGGGGAAGCATTTGAAGCAGCTTCTGGATTAGCACCAGCCAATAAGTACTCCAGAGTGTTCCAGTACTCATCAACAGCGTTCCTATTTGAAAGAACAAAATCATGTCTAACTTGATGGCAAGAATCTGGACCATGAAAATCAGATGATCGTGCAGTTGAAGAGAAAGGTTCCTCAAAGTAAGGTTTAAGCTCTAGCGCATGAGTAAGAGTGATCTGTATCACATGAGTGGCGTCTACCGTATGTTCACCACAAACAAGGCGGATTAACTGCAAACAAAGATGAAACTGCTTCATACTTGCCAAAACAAGAGAAAAAGAAAAAAGAGTGATCACTTGATCATAAGTCAACTCCATAAGCCATGTTGATATAGCTATTCATGGTATCAAAATCCTCAATTTCTACAAATTGCAAAACAAGCTCTTTGACTTATTTTTTATGCAAGCTTTCCTGAAAAGAAGCTGGGTGTTTCTTAATATTTTCTTAAAACAATTTGGGATCCTTCCCCAAGGAAATAAAGTATCATGTTTAGTAGGTAGAAGGAAGACAATGGACCAAATCTTGGATTTTAATTATTTTCCATTAAATCAGAGTATCAGACTACGTACACACAAGTTCTTTTTAAAAAAAGATTGGGCCACAAGAAATTTATCAACCACCCATATATATCATGTCTTCGGCTAGTTGATCATATAAATTGGAAACCATTACGAAGTGAAACAAGAATTGATCTCTGACTCCTCTAGTCCTCTTATACTCCATCTTAGTCACTTCATCCCTCAAAAGTAGTTTGTATCTTCCAAGCATGGAAAAGTTTCCGTCAAACCAAACTCTTTCTTTCATCTTTTTGCTACCTAGATAGGGGGAGACAACAAATTTGTGGACCGTTTTGACACTGCTAAATCCAATTTATTCTAAAAGGTCATAGTTTTCTTACTTGTATACACTAAGATTTGAATAAAAAACATGCTCATCAACATAGGATCTTACATCCCCTACAGAATGAGCCATATCAAAGTTGATACTTCTGAGCAGAATACAAGAGGAAGACGGTTAAAGTGTCATCAGTACGATTTTCAGTTTAGTATCATCACATGAAATTAGAACCTCTGACCTGTGACTTTGAGGCATTCTTGTTTCATTTTTTCTCAGAACTGAAGAATGCATCTGTCAGGTCAACATGTCAATTCTCATAAGGTTTGGCAATTTTTAAGCTCCAAAACTAGAGCATCTAGTTGGAGTATGGTTTCTTAGATGCACATATTTATATGGAATCACACAAGAGAGACGACCTTAAAGGACAGCCCGGTGCACAAAGATCCCACATTCACAAGAGAGATGGCCTTATTTCTTTATATTTACTATCATTGAAGATGCTTCAGATCAATCACTATACTCAACTGCACCGGGTTTATGAAAATATCAGAGCTCTTAGCAAGGGTAAACCTGGGAATGTTTTATCTGAATGAGCGCATCTTTAGTTTTTAGTAATGTTAGTTTACAGCATGTATATAGTGTAGTATTGTCCCACATTGGTAGAAGAGTAGTATGTCCTTGTATAGTATAGCTATAAATAAGGACCTCTTGTATTGTATTGTTCATCAAATATCAATAACATATTTTCTCCCGTGCCTTCTCACATGGTATCAGAGCAATTGTGAGAGACTTATCGCTGTGCATAAATTCCAGCGATTCCGGGAAAGAGAAATCGTTGTGCATAAATTCCAGCGATTCCGGGAAAGAGAAATCAGTATTTTTTAAGGCTGTTTTCTATCTGCTTCATTTCTGTCAGTGTTGTGCAAAATCCAACACTACCACGAGAGTCGTCACTGTCCGGCGACCAAACCTCAGTGAAAAACTCCGGCAGCAGCCTCCTCACGCGCCACCAGAAGCTCACGCGCCGGCACGTACGACCACTTCCGGCCATTTTTTGAAAATCTTCCTTCAGAACAGTTGGGTCGCCTAGTAATTCCGATCTTACCCCTACTGTTTTCATTTCATTCCGACAACTTTGAGTTTTTTCCGTCAGCTACAGTACTATTCCGACAGCTACAGTAGATTCCGGCAGCTACAGTATTTCAGTATTCTGTTTCTGTGTTTCCGTACACTGTTTCAGTGGATTACAGTTGATTCTTTCTCCTATTTGGTAATAATTTGCAACAATGTCTTTGGGATTTGATGCTTTTGGGTCTAGAAACATGAGTTCTGGAAGCTCTAGTGCTATTATTACCTCGGAACCTTTAATGGGAGGTTCAAACTACTTAGCTTGGGCTTCATCTGTCGAGTTATGGTGTAGAGGTCAAGGTGTTCAAGATCATCTAATCAAACAGTCTAGCGATGGAGATGAAAAGGCAATAGCACTTTGGGCAAAAATCGATGCTCAGTTATGTAGCATCTTGTGGCGATCTATTGATTCCAAGTTGATGCCCTTGTTTCGTCCATTCCAGACATGTTATTTGGTTTGGGCAAAGGCACGCACCTTATACACTAATGACATATCTCGCTTCTATGATGTGATATCACGGATGACAAACTTAAAGAAACAGGAATTGGATATGTCTACTTACTTGGATCAAGTACAGGCAGTCATGGAGGAATTTGAGAAGTTGATGCCAGTTTCTGCTAGTGTGAAAAATAACAAGAGCAGTGACAGAAGATGTTTCTCGTTCTTACCCTCGCTGGACTTCCTAATGATCTTGATTCAGTACGCGACCAGATTTTGGCTAGTCCGTCTGTCCCGATAGTTGTGAATTATTCTCTCGATTACTTCGCCTTGCTGCAGCACCAAGTCCACCAGTGATCTCATCACAAATACTTGATTCCTCTGTTCTTGCAT